AGCCATATAAATGGGTGTGACATATTTACATTTAAACACTAGTCCAGTTAGGCGGGCTGAGATATAGCTAAATGATTCAAGACTGAAAGTGAAAGGAAAACTGAATTTTAAAAACATAACTACACCTGCTAGTACATTCAGATTTTCACTCATGCCTATGTACACCACTGAACACAAAATGATGCTTACAGGCCCCCCAGATTATAACTGGGACTAGACCACCTCCCCTTCACTTCCCCACTCAGATGAGTGAAAATCATAAAGATAATTTTTAAAATCAGCTTACAGAATATATTAATACAGATTTCTTTTTAAAACTTAAAAACTGGGCATGGTGGCGCATGTCTGTAATCCCAACCCTTGAGAGCCTGAGGCAAGTTCAAGATCCACGTGAACTACATAGTGAAAAGCTGTCTCCAAGAACAAAACAAACAAGTAAATAAAAGCTCCTTCATTTTCCACATCATTGATATTTCTATACAAAAACTGCTACTCATAAATACAATTCTGTTGAAAATTGACAAAACAGTATTAAAAAGAATCTCATATTGTGCCCTAGACAGTTTAATATCAGAAATGTTTTAAAGATAAGGGAATAGTGTTTGGCAAAGTTTTAAATACACATAGAAATTTATACTATAATCCACCATCCAGAAGTATAAAGCAAAAAATAAATAAATAAATAAATAAAGTATAAAGCAACAGAGAAATGAATATTAATTACATAATTATTTTAATAATTAGAAGTTAGTCACTCTAAATGTTCATGAATAAAGATATTACTAAATAAATAACTGTGTCCATACAGTGGAGTATGCTTTAAATGAGACAGAAAGTTGCTTATGATGTAACAAATGAAAGGTAAGTAGCGAACCATTTGGACACTATACCTCATCTTTAAAATCCAAGAAGAACATGGACATGAATGTTTCCATGTAAATATTTAAAATATTCACAGAGAACAGTTATAATGCATAACAAAATTTCAGGTTTACAAAAAAATCTTCTAGTAAATATTGCACTAATTTATATGAGTACTGTTCTACTCACTAAAACATAAAATCTCATGAGAATATTTAACATTTTTATTCAGAAATTTGAAAACAACTGCTAGTTACTACAGTATATATAAATTCGATTTGTATAACAAAGTACTATGATTAAAAAATAACCATGTTACAGTCAGAGTTCCTTTCTGTTCTAGTTTTGGGTTTATTTGGGGGTTGAACTCCCAAATTCTCACACTCTAGAAAAATGCTCTATTCCTAGGTGACATTCCTACCCTCTCCAATACTCTATAATAATTTGTACCCAAACTTTGCTATCTTTAGAGTAAAAAATGGATATACTCTTAAACAGAATTTAAGTAGTTTCCATAGTGATAGGTAAAACTCAGTATCATTTTTATTTATATAGGACAGGCTTTAATAACAGGTTTTTAGTTGGTTTTTGTTGTTTGTTTTTGTTTTTAAATACTGGAGATTAAACCCAAGAATGTCTGCATATATCCTCAGGGTTTTTTTGGCTTTTTTTTTTTAGACAGGGTCCTGCTCTATCTTCCTCCTACCTCAGCCTACTGAAAACCTGGGATTACAGGTTTGTACCACTTGCCTGGCAACAGTATTCAATAATAATTATCATCAAAATATTTTTAAAGGTATCAAAACTGTCAACTTTATTCAGTTTTATCTTGATTTACAATATATAAATATTTAACCTCTTCCTCTAAACTCAAGCTAATACTTTTAGTATTGAAAAACATTTGGACTACTATATAGTCACTTTATAAAACTCTCTTAGCACTTAAGCTGATTTTCAGTGTAAAAATTCACCCTCACTAGAATTCATACTTGGAAAAATCATTTTACTTTCCTAAAATGCCTTCTGCAAGGATTCAAAGTAATGCAGATCTACTTTACCTAGTTGTTGATGTTTGCACTTGTCATGACTGTGATGGAAACTGGCTCCGGCTGGCTCATCTACTGTCTTCTCTGATGAAAGCAAACTAAGACGCTTCATGTTAAGTAACCTTGGGGAATTGTCCTGCATGCTATCTCTCATCTCCAAAGTCATATCTCCAGAAAGAATGGGAGGAACGACTCTCTTTAAAAAATCCATTTTAAGGTAGCTCTACGTTCCTAGACCCAGAAGCACACAGAGAGGTACTGAATCAACTTCCTTGATGAGAAGTTAAAGTATGCTATCTGTGTAAAAGAGCAAAGAGACGACGTCATGTGAAATTGAGGTGGGGCTAAAGCCCAGCAAGGCAACTGCCAGCTGTTTAGAAGCTGATTTTTAGGGCATTTACTGTTTGTGCTGATAACAAACCACACTACTCTAGATCATGAAACTGCACTCCACATACAAATATACTTGTACAGTGAGTGTTACAAGCAATAAGACCATAAAATGTTTAGCATCCACCTAGTTTAACATTTAGACTTTGAAAAACCTTCAGTGTGACAAAGACAAATTTACTTTGGTCTGAGGTGTGAAACAGGAACTTGTACTCAAAAGATAATTTCCATCACTCTGAAAATTACTTATGGGTCTCAAGAACAACTCTACAGAATGTGAAAAGGGGGTGAAAGTTGTGTATTACAATCACTCCAAAGTACTCTTAAACTCAAGCTCATGTGCACAAACCAGAGCTTCCTTGTTATGATCAGTCCTAGTGATCAATAGTAATGCTGGAACTCCTGGCAGACTTCACCAAATAATTAGAGATAATTAAAGTAGGTAGGCCTTACAACATAATGTTGAAGATTTTAAAGTATAAGCATGTAAATTCAATATATGTAGCAGTTAATAGCACATAATTTATTTTCAAAATAACTGTGTATCCCACAAAAATTTTTCAATAGTTGAAGTAACTGATCTTAGAACAAAAGAGTCCAAAAAGACCCTGAGTATGCAAGGTAATACCCCCTCCTTGCCCTTCCTTTGCCGGCCGTCTGGTGGGGCTACTAAATAAGCAAGAAGGAAATGCAGAAAAAGGGAACAGAAGAAGGAAACACCAAGGAATTGTATTGAAGTCATAATTTCAAAAATTAGACTCTCCTAGTGGTAACACACGCACAACCTCCTTAGTACAATATGCAATATGAAGAAAATCATTTATATAATATTTACTTATTTGTTCATTTTGTATTTTATTTAGTAAGGGTCTACAGGGTCTCATTAAGTAGATCAGACTCTAGTGTTCTGCCTGTTTTCAGCCTCACAAATGCTGGGATTACAGTCGTGTGCTACCACACCCAGTCTCAACTGCCCTCTCAGCAAGCCTCGGGGCATGGCTCTCAGGGGATCAAACCCCGGCCACTGCGTCTACCTAAGTTAATATTTCTTAAGATGAGGCAGAAATGGCTTCCACAGCAATTAGGAAAAACGATAGTTAAGAAGAAAACAAGTAAAGGTCTCATTCTGAAATAATTAGGGTTTCATCATTATTGTTCCACGACATTACTTACCAAGTCAACTACTCCCTACAGGGAGGGCTAGGGATGTAGCTCAGAGGCACAGCGCCTGCCTGGCAAGCACAAGGTCCTGAGTTCAGTTTCTGGTACAAAAAAAGAAGTTTTTTCCTATACCATCCATTTTTTAAATATATTGTTTGAAGGCCCTTCATAGTAAAGCATTAACACACTACTGAGTCTTAGAGATAAAGGAGCAATACAAATTCTGTCTAGGTAAAAGGAGTAAAACAAACAAGGAAGTACAATGGGTGTTAACAGCAATACTGAGACCATAAAATGATTTGCTCTCAAGCAGGACTATATCTGATGGGGTGTGGGGACAGACAGTGACTTTTAGAAAATGCTTTTAAAAAGCAAAGACGTAAAGATTAAAATTAGTATCCAAACCCCCAAACTCATTAGAACCATAAACTATATGTATTAATATGGCTAAAAGTAATCACTGTTTGCAGGTTCCCTCTTTGAGTATAATCTCATATTCTTTATATCTTAGGTTTTGTTGTTTGCCTCAGGTCTCTCTACAGGTCTTATCTAGGAAGTCCAGAAACACAGTGGTATAAAACATGCTAATCATGGAGAAGTTACCTTCATGCTGGTTCATGATAGGACAAACAGCTATGTCACTACTGATCTCACTGTTAAAAATTTAAGCTGAAGAAAGGAAGGAGTTGAGGCAAAAGGAGCAAGGATTAGATGTTATAAGAGAGACCACAAAAGATTTTTCTTTGTTCAACAAATATTTGCTGAGCAAATTCTATAATGATCTGTAGAAAATACAAAAACTCTTAAAATGAGTCTCCATCTCTAAGAATCTTACCGCTTAAGAAGGGAAATAAACTCCCACAGCTACCATACTCTACAGAGTGGGCTGAAGTTTTGTTGAGCCTGTATTGTAATTCAATTTCCTCTGCCCAAACTGCTCCCTATTCCTTCCTCTTTATAGGTGTTGAGCCCTAATAAACATCTTGGAAACCACATTACTTTTCAGCACCAGCTTCCTCTGAATCTACCCTGAAACATAAGTCAGAGGGAAAGCATAGAATTCCAGTGACAAGACTGTACCCATTACTAGCTGAATCTATGAAGAGAAAAAGTCATTTTACGGCATTTGTGTACATGTTATTTATTAGCACTTTAATCATCATCACTTTGATCTTGCTACACAAAGCTCATGTGTTAAAGACGCCATATCAGCTTGTGACTATTGGGAGGTTGTAGAAACTTAAGAGTTAGAGCCTAGTAGAAGGAAATTAGGTCACTGGAGTGTGTCCTTGAGGGGGATTGTGGGACCCAGGCCAGTGCGCTCCCACCATAATATGCTACCTTGGCCACAGGCCCAAAGCAATCAGGCCAATCATTCGAAGATCAAATACTATAAGCCAAAACAAAACCTTACTCTTAACAGGGTAACAGTTATGAAGTAATCATGAAGTTATAATAGAAGCTGAAGTTAAAATACAGCATTTAAAATTTTTTTCAGCCTTAGTCACTACTTAGCCTTAAGCATATTTACTGTAATCTTACCGTGTCACTAGAGACAGTAATTTCTTGATGATAACGTAGATCATTAATCCTGACTTTATGAGTCTTGAGCAGTTTGGAGAATTTAGCGTTTAGATGTTAATCACCCAAGATTCAAATAAATGGCTTCAGCTCTGGAAAAAAAAAAACAACACTTACATGCCTGGTATATTTATAGTAAGTACATCTTTGTGTTACTCATATTCATCTTTACTTCTGATTCTATACCCGTGTCATCTACTGCCAAAGTTACTCTCTTCGAATTATGTTAACTTTTTCTAAATTTTTACTACAGAAAATTTAAAGCTAATACAAAAGTACACAGTATAATACCTCATTATCCCAGTTTCAAACTTAACTCATAGCAAATAACATCCTAGTACCATGGACTATTCTGAAGCAAACACCAAACACCAAATCATTTTATCTTTACATAATGTATCTAAGACAAAGACTTACTTTTTCAACATGCAATTCCACTATCATACCTACAATGTATTGATTTTTCTGTAACATGAACTATCAATAAGTGCTTACTTTTGCCCAAGTTGTATTTAGGTGTCTTTTTAATGGTTTGTTCCAATCGAAATCTAAACAAAGCACATACAGACAACTGTAACTCTGTCCCTTTAATCTCCCAGAATTTATAAATATCTTCCTTTCTTTCTTTGAAATGTTTTCACTAGTCAATGACTGAATTTCTACAGCAATACCTTGTTCAACAACATTTTAAATAGTTTTATTCTCTAAATACGAATTTGCAATATAATTCATATACTTTCTAAGCAAAATATTTACACCATCTACAGAAACAATTTGGAATGCATATTTTCTAAGTCTATAGCAACTCTAAGGAGGGTCCATGGACTGTGAACTACTGTATATATCTGCAACTAGTTTGACACTTACTAAAAATAAAATTGAGGTCCTATCACTGATATTTATGTGCATGCCATGTCTTTCTCTCATTCAAGTTAGTGGCATGTTTGAAAAGTAAATAGGCCAAACTTAAATGTAGCATTAAAACTCAAATTATCCATATTTAAATCACAACTACTTTCCTAATAGTTTTTCCTGTTTAATAAATGTAATATCCAATTCAATAAAAAAGGTTATTGAATGTTTCTAAAACATTAACTTTGTACTAAAAATGGTTAATGTGAAATTCCTTTAGACAAGTTATACACAAAGATAATCATTGACTCAGAGGCTCAGTCAACTAAATCATGAGTACAACCAAATCTTCAAAGCCAGAACTCTAGTAAATATGAACAAAACACTAATACATTTGCATCGGTTCATAATCAATATCATTTATACTTACTCAAAGTGTTATTGCCCCATTAAATATTTCTGAATCAATTAAAAAAGTCTTGATACTTTTCTTAGGTTCATGGAATCCTTTCCCCCTCAAAGCAAAAGCACACATCTTACAAAGAACACATCACATCTTACAGGCGTAGCCATGTATTAAACAATATTTAATGAGATCAAAACTATTTTTCGTAGTTACTTTTCTTGTTGCTGAGACAAAATATCCAACACCCACAAGTTAAGAGGGGGAAAGGCTTATCTAGGTTATAGTTTACAGCACTTCCAGTTCATAATCAGCTGGCTCCAAGGTAGGGCAGCATGGCAGACAGGCACCACAGAAGGGAAACAGTTCACAGTGGACAGAAGGTACCAAAGCAACAAGAGACAACCACTGCTCTTTCTATCCCTTCTATTTTATCCAGGCTACTTATATCGAGTAGCACTCAGATCCTTAATTCTAGTGCCCTTGATCCTAGCACTGAACAATCAATCAGTCTCAGCGTCACACACTCTAGCTCCAGCCACCTCAGAAAAAGCCCCACTTTTGACTGCATGAGGCTTTGGGGGACATCTAGATACAAGCCAGAATATGTTCCTGTATTTGGGGTTGGGGGAAAAAAAACAAAACCACTCACCACCAGAGTTCAAAATGGTTTGGGGGCTACTGCGACGAAGACTGAGTAGTTGACTAACTTAGTAATCTGTGCAGGCACAGCAAGTCCAGTACCTGTTTTTCATGTGTTCATTCTGGTAACAATGTCATAGAACTATTTCATTTTATTTATTTTTTTAACATTTATTTATTTATTGTGTGTGTGTGTGTGTGTGTGTGTGTGTGGCCAGCTCAGCCCACCAGGGGGCGCGGCTGGCTGGCATGTGGTGCTAGGGGATTGAACCGCGGTCCCTGTGCTTTGCCAAGCTTGTTCCAAGTAGGTGCTTTAGACCACTGAGCCATCTCTCCAGCCCAGAACTATTTCATTTTAATACTTCTAAGTCTGTCCAGAAATTTTCAAAACCTCTTCAGTAGATACACAACCTACTTATTTGGAACTCTTCATTTTTTGACTAAATAATTGTGTCTTCTGCTCACTATGGAAAATAATTGATTATACCTCTGCAGTTTTCTGTATAGATTATAATCATTCTTAGCACACCTGAATTTTGGAAGAGTTTTGCTTATTTTCCATGAGTTTTGTTTTTTGGATTTTTTTATCTGTGTTCTTGCATGTCAATCATTATTTGGGGGGCTGGTGAGATGGCTCAGTGGTCTAAAGCACCTACCTAGAACAAGCTAAGCAAATCACAGGGACCACGGTTCAATCCCCCAGCACCACATGCCAGCCAGCCCCGCCCCCTGGGGGGCTGAGCTGGCCACACACACACACACACACACACACACAAATAAAAAAAAAATCATTATTTGGTCTTCTCTTCATATATATGATTTAACATGGATGGAATTCATTTAAATTTCACTTCACTGGAGAACACAACTACTTTTATAATCCCACTTTTGAGTTGGCTGAGTAAAAGTAGGGTTAACTCTATGTGGTCATGTTATACGCATGATCAATGCTGTTCTAACTTAAGAAAAGGGTCAAATAAAACAGGAAGTCTCTTGGCATTTGACAACACAAAAGAGAAAAATGTACACAGCTGAACAGCAGAAGATCTAAAGCCCAAAGTCTTTTCTCCTGCATAGTAATGACAATGATATTGTGTGCAACAAAGAAAGAGAACAGAGGCATAACTCTGGTGCTTGGCAGGACCTCAGAACCAATGGCAGTCTTGCTTCACTTTAGTCCAGGACGAAGAAGATAAAGTTGAATGAGCATTCAGATAACACACATCAATGTAATTTCCTATTTGTACAGAATTTTTAGAATAATTAAAGAGAAGCACCACAAATTTAATTATCTTCATTTTAGTAAGACATTAGATGCATGTGTTTCTGAAATACACATACAATACAAGAAAAGTTAAGAGTAAATGAGTATCAGTAGTGTTCATCATAGTATTCTCAATACTTGTCTGTGTGCCTGGAATACTTACTGGAAAACAAGAAAGTTATGGTGAGTCAGGGATATAGCTCAGTGGCATAAGTGCCTGCCTGGCAAGCACAAGGTCCCAAGTTCAATCTTCAGTACCACAAAAGAAAGAAAGAAAGTTATGGTGACTAGAAAAAGGAACATTTGTTTTCAACACTAAATGACAACTTAATTATTACATAATTATTAAAAATTCAAGTTCAGGGCTGGTGAGATGGCTCAGTAGTCTAAAGCACCTACTTAGAACAAGCTTAGCAAAGTGCAGGGACCACGGTTGAATCCCCCAGCACCACATGCCAGCCAGCCCCGCCCCCTGGTGGGCTGAGCTGGCCACACACACACACACAC